TTTTTTTTTTTTTTGCAAGTGCAACTAATGTGATGTTCCTAGCCAAAAAATTCAAAAGGTGTTATATTAAAGTGCATGAGAATTTAAAATGATTAATTCATAAATAATTGATTAGAAAATTAATGATTAATTAAAAAAGTGACACAGAGTAACTGTACAGCAAATAAAGACATTGGGAAGTTATCTTGTTATTTTTATAATATTCGTATTATTTGCATTCTTCCATATTTTTGCAAAATTACTAAATATTTTATTTGACTAAATCTGGCTTGTTTGGCACATGATGTTGTTTTAAATGGAGAAAATGAGATGGATGATGGATGGCAAATCATGAGAAGAAAGAGAAAAGCACAGCCAAAGAGTGGCTATCCATACTTAGAAAGATCTGAAATGCTCCTACCATCGTTGATTTCAACCTCATAAGGTACAGGTCTGCGTTTCACTCGACTGCTGGGATACATCCCATACTGATCCGCTTCTCCAGCAAAATCACTGAGGAGAAACACGCGCAATTCAGGACATGCGATGTAAGAAAACTGATGTTTCCTAAAATGATTCTGTTTATCTGCTTCAAATGTCATTGAACAAAACAGAATAGAACAGAATAGAAATAGCTTATATATAAAAATACATTTTAATTCATTATAATTATCTTTGACATATTCCAACATAAAATGTCTTCAAAAATAAGAACACACCTAAATATGTAAATAGAAAAGAATAGAATAGAAAAGGCTTTTTTTTTAAAGTGTATATAAAAATACATTTTAATGCATTATATTTATCTTTTACATATTCCAAGATAAAAAGTCTTTAAAAATGAAAAAAGTGCTTAAATTGCACTTAAATTAAGGTGTTCGAATGCAATAGACAAAGCTTATAAGAAATGCATATAAAAATACATTTTAATGCATTGTATTATATATTCTAAGGTAAAAATGTCTTTAAAAATAAGAAAGAAATCACTGAAATACTTAAATTAAAAAATACAATAGAAAAAGCTTTGGTAAAGTGTATTAAAATAAATTTGAATGCATTACATATATCTTTAATATATTACATCACTGATGGAGAAAACGATGTGCTTACATATTTGATATAGAATAGAATAGTATAGAATAGAATAGTGGAAAAGAGTACGGCGAGATAGCATGTTTGTACATAAAACATTTCAATGCAATTATATTTTACATATATGTGAGAAAATGAAAACTGATTAAAAAAAATAAGGTGAATCTTTTACCTTTTTATATATCGTTTATATAATTATTTATTTTAATTCCTTATATGTTTCAGTGTCGTTTAATATACATTTTAATAGGCTAAATAAATAATTGCAAGAAAGTGTAGGCTCCCATAGCATTACAGTGTAGTCTACCGATCATTTCAGGTACGCTATCATAAAATACATCATATTTACAGATTATTTTAGTGTATTACAGAGAAAATATCAAATCGAGAAATGACGGCTTTTCAGATAGTTGCAAATATTAACATGCGCAAAAAGTGGAATACAGCTTCATTAAGCAATGTTTTTCATAAATGCATCTTAACTTTGCAACACATTTGTAAATGTTAAATGAAATAAATTATCTTTGTTTGATATCCTACTCGGCACGGAGTGTAACAGCAGAAGTTACCTGTTAATAGTGGCGAGCGGTGGGGTCATGTTGCTGTAGAGCATCGCTCGAGCCGGGAGAGGGAAAGCGGGCGGACTCAACTGCACCATTCGAGTGTCGCTCAGCGGCTCTCTGGGAGGCAGCGGCAGTGGAATCGGTGGTCTGCACAGCTCGGTGGTCTGCACCTTATGGCTGATGTCTGCCTTGAGCTCTCTGCCTTTTATATCCGCGCTCCCTCCTCTCCTGGACAGCTCGATCACCGCCACTTCCTTTTTTAGCTCGGTGGCGTGGTGCGCCGTTTCCTTGGCGACGCCATTGAGGACCCTGCGCTCCTCTGGGGGGTGATGCTCTCCCGTCTCCGCCGTCGTGCCTTCCTGTTTCCCGCATGCGTCTCCCTCCGCGCTCGGGCTGAGCGGAAATTGCTCGGATTTCAGTTTTTCCATCATCCTTGTGTGAAAATCCAAAAAAAGCGGGTTTCCCAAAAGCTTGTATATAGTGGTATCCAAAGGTAATTGTAATTCCCGACCAATCAATCCAGCGGCTGTTTAGCTTCTCATCGGAGGTCACCTGTGAAAGAACACACCTTTAGGAACATCGATTGAACGCCTGCGTGATTACGCGCGGCGCATCCTCTCTGTGCCGAGCGCGGGCGTGACTGGAAACACTGACAGGGTACAGTAATACAGCAGTTCTGTGAAAACCCGTGTCATGTGTGTCCCACTGAGCCATGCAAAGGCCTGATCAGTTTTACACGTTTCTTCTTGCACCAATATGAGAGGAAATAGGCTAGTCAAGCAAGATTGCTTATATGTAGCCTACAAACCAAACCAAATTTCTTTTATGATATATGAGTGGTGGTGTGTTTTTTTTGTTTGTTTTTTGGTCTCGACCTGACCTTGGTCTGTCATGTCATCATTCTGCTCATGGTATCTGGAGATAACCGGTGTCTTGGTTGGGAAAGAGCTTATCTTCTGCTAACATGTTCTACATTTTTAACAGAAAATAATGCGTAATTATTACAGGACATATTCAATAACACCTTTATAGATTTGCATGTTAAATCATATTCTTATACTTAAATGACCAACTTTGTTATCATGATGTTGTTGTTGTTTCGGTATTATTTTAACATTACTCGTAACTATAATCTAAATCACTATAATTTCGTATAGCCTATTTCAATATAAATTCATATTAACCTATTTATTTTAGGGGGGATGTTACTGTCAATATGGTGGCTTCATTTATTTGTATGCGTTGTTTGTCTTTTCATTTATTTGAAATTCAGGAATGGAGCTAAAACGAACATTTTTACGTGAGTAGTTGCGTCCATGTTTGCACATTTATGTCTGGTTTTAAATATTATAGATATTTGAAAACATATTTTAGCTTTTCTATAGTTGACAGTTTGTTTATAATGCCATTTCGTCGTTGATTTAAAAAAAAAAACTATTTCTAAGATTGATGCACGATAATATTCGTTTTATGTTGTTTTCATTCTCAGACAATCCATGTGTCACCTAAGTTTATTTTACTGCAAGATCATTATTAATAGCCTACATCATGCCCAATTTAGATACTCTTATACGTTTACCTATTTCTGTTTACTCCGTAGCTATTTATAATGTATCATCTTCTTATATTTATAATATATGCAAGTGCGTATATTTGCTCAGAGTTGCTTTAAAACAAGCTTTATTTCACAACAAAATCAGACTTTAATAAGCATAGGCTATTTACACGGTCTCAAATAGATTAATAATTCGACACGTGTATGTCAACAAACTTGAAAAACAAATAATCCGTGTTTACCATATTTAGTAACAAATAACCCGACCGCAATGTGAATTTTAGTTTTATAAATGTGAAATATCGATGGGATCCGTCCGTTTATTGATGGAGTTATGATGACTGTTATTTTAAGCACTAAACGGAAAAGAGGGAAATAGCAGGCGGGAGGTTTTGTGTGGACAATTGAATCGAAATGAATCGAATTTCGTAACTTTAGATTAAACGATCGTGTCTAAAGCGCGCGTTAATTATAAAATAAATGGCGAATCGATATCTGCATTCTGCAGGCTCAAAGGCCTATTTGCTCCAAGACCGAATACAACCAAATAAAAATTATATAAATCATACCTGACCTCATATTAATCATCTGGCGTCGATAGAAAGCCTAACTGTGACCTGCGTTAGTATCAAAGGAGCGCAGAAACAGCAATTTTCGCCTCTTACCGTCGTCGGGCGGTGGATGTTAGTGTGTGCATGGAGCCATTTTGTGGTGGGTCATCCATGTCTGAGGTTTTGGATGCACTGAAGTGCTGTGTGGAACTGGAAGTGAGGTCTATATAATTCCACATCACGTCCAGCGCGCGCCTCTCAGTATGGGGAGCGGAACACGGGCGCAATGTGGCCGGGCGAGATAAGAGCGCAGTGGCGGCCACTGCGAGGTCGATAAGCCCCTAAACCCATTATTTATGAAATGATTCATTATTATTTTGCTTTTTATCGAGGGCAAATGCGAAGAGAAAAATATAGACTTATATTGTGAATGGATATGCATAAAAAAATAACTCCGCGGTTTGAGGGGGGAAACGAATGCCTAATATTGTTGAACTGCTTCAGGGCTCAATCAGAAATTAATTATGCGGCCAAAAGTAACACATTTTCAGTGATATCGGCTGGGGATGTAGGGTTGAAAAGTA